AAAAAAAAAAAAAAAGAAATAGAAGCCAGATGCAGGTAGCTCACACCTGTAATCCTAGCTCCTCAGAAGATCTGAGGACAGCAGTTCAAAACCAGCCCAGCTAGGAAAGTCCATCAGCTTCTCTCTCCAGTTAACCAGCAAGAAGTAGAGCTGTGGCTCAAGTAGTAGAGCACCAGGGTTGAGAAGGAAAAAAAAGGCTCAGGGACAGCACCCAAGCCCAAGTGCTGACAAAGATCAGTTAATTAACCAGACTAAAATAGGAAAGGCGTTTGCCTGTGGGTAGGAGCCAGTCTCCACAGGGTCATCCATGTAGCTTTGGCTGCGGGGTGGGGGGGGGAGGGTAGGGGTGGGCTGGGGGGGGGGGGCTTGCTGATGGGCCATGGGCCTCCTCTCTCCATATCCCCCCTAGGTTTACAAGTCGTCCTGAAGTCGATCATGAAGGCCATGGTTCCCCTGCTGCAGATCGGCCTCCTCCTGTTTTTTGCAATCCTTATTTTTGCAATCATAGGGTTAGAATTTTATATGGGGAAATTTCATACCACCTGCTTTGAAGAGGGGACAGGTAGGTGTGAGCAGCATGGTGTGTGTGTGTGTGTGTGTGTGTGTGTGTGTGTGTGTAGGGGGTTCCACTCTCCTTCTGGAGCAGGAAAAACGAGCCATCCTTCCTCTCCCTTCCCTGGCAGCTGGGAGAGCTGCCTTCAGATGTCCTGTGTCCCCAGATGGCTCAAGGCCCTGGGTTCGAGGCCCGGCTCCTCGACATTGACAGGAGAGAGGAAAGGAAGGCAGGGCGGTGGAGAGCGGCAGGGGCAGGCGTCCGCGGTGGGAGCACACGGGACGGCGCAGTGCACAGCGGCCCGCCCAGCGCCATCCTGAGCAGGAGCCCCACGGCCTGGCCAGGACGGGGCTCCAGCCTGCTGCCTGCTGGGGAGCAATGAACCCCAACCTCAGCATCTCCTGGGTCCTGGGATGGCCATTCAGAATGGGGACGGACAGCGTCCTGGGATATCCAATCGGAGCTAAGGGACCAACACGGTTATACGCCTCACCCAATCAGAATTGTGGTATCAGCAAGGGCCTGGAATGGCCAATCAGAATCATGGGACCCGTAGGGTTCTGGACGCCACCAATCAGAACCACATTTACCAGCAGGGTCCTGGGTTGGCCAATCAGAATTGCGGGGCCAGCAGGGGTAGTAGTCCTCACCCAATCAGAACCACAGGCCCAGCAGGTTCGTGGACGGCCAATCACAGCTTTGCCCTCAGAAGCCCTGGGAGGAGCAGACTGAAGGGAGGAGCTGGGACTCCGCCTGGGGGGGGCTTCACCCTGCACCCCCATTCTCCCGCCCCCTTGACCCCAGGCGGATCCCAAGGTAGCTGGGGCTGCCCCATCCCCTCCAGTGGTGGGGAGGGTGGGAACTACGATCCTTCCAGAAGGGTGGGGTTTCCTCTTCTTCCTTCTTTTCCTCTCCCAGGCTTGGGAGCGCTGCTCCCTCGGCATGGGGCGCCCCAATTATTCCTTCCGCAATGAGGAAGGTGTTAATTGAGGCAGAGCTATTTCTGCACCTGGCCTCATGTGGGGGGGAGTTAGGGGGCGGGAGGGGAGGACTTGCAGAACCCCAAGATCCTGGGCCTTCTCAGGTTTCCTACGGTCTCCCTGACCCCCCCCCATCCAAGTGGCTGGCTGGGGTCTGAGTGGGGTCTTGGGGTGGTGTTGGGGGAGGGGTGCTGATGTATGTGGGTGCAGCCCCTGGAGGGTCCAGACGCCCCCGTTTAGGAAGAAAACTGAAAAAAGCTCCCGATTAAAAATATAAGGCGTGTGAGTAAGACAGATCCACGCAGACACCCCGGCAGCAGGTTAATTTTAAAATGTATTTCTAACCAAATCCCTCAGCCTGGCTGGCTGGTGATTTATATATATATGTGTGTGTTTTTTTCTAGAAACAACCCTCGGAGTGCTTCGTGCACTTCGTGGTGGGGGGGGGGGGGCTGCCGTGAAGAGCACCTCTGGGCGTCATTGCTAAAGATAGACAGGCTCTCACCAGGCCCAGCCCAGATCCTGTCAGCCAGCATCTCCGAAACACCCCAAAACTCGAAGGCAAAGTAGAAAAAGCTTCTTGTTTTCTAAGAGCTCACAGGGAAAAATGAAAGAAGAAAGAAAGAATGGAAGGAAAGAAGGCAGGCAGGCAGGCAAAGTATCTGAGGAACAGGATCCCCTCCCTTCCACTTCCGATTTGCAGCCATTTATAACCTGGAAAACTAATGACAGATTATATCCACACACCACCCCCAGATTTTGGGGGCTACTGGAGGCCTGGGAAAAATGGGGACACCCCAATTAACTAGGCTAACACAAGTAGGCTGCCCAGGGGTTAAGCTGGGAACTGAGTGGAGGACTGAGAAAGTTCCAGATTCTTCTCAGCCAATGGTGTCTCTTACTATTTTTGCTGATGGAGTTTCTTCTCTGAGTCTCACTCTCCCATCAGCGTTCATTAAGGAACCCAGCTAGCTGTTGTCTGGCGTGTAACAGTAGTGGCATTTGTTTCTTTCCTTGTTTTTTCCACTATGTAGCTGAGGGCTCCAATTCTTTCTTTTCTCTTTTTCTTTTTTGGTCAGTTGTGGGGCCTGAACTCTGGGCCTGGGCGCTGTCCCTCAGCTCTTCAGCTCAAGGCGAGCGCTCTACCACTTGAGCCACAGTGCCACTTCCAGCTTTTTCTACTTATGTGGTGCTGAGGATTTGAACCCAGGGCCTCAGGCATGCCAGGCAAGGGCTCTACCACTGAGCCACCTTCCCAGCCCCATGGCCTCCAATTCTTGATCCTCCTTTCTTGGCCTCCCAAGAGCTGGGATTACAGGCATGCGCCACCATGCCCAGTGTGGTTTCTTCTCCATTAGGATTCTTTTTTTTACAGGCCACAGGAATCTTCTAACCACCATTTCTTTTCTTCCTCCTGGGCGTGGTCCAGTGGGAGTTGGGAGTTGATAAAGTAAAGGCTCCTCCCTGCCATACAAATACTGAAATGTTGTTGGGGTTGTTGAGTGGGAAGGTTATACTTTTATACATTTTATTTTCTTGTGTATTCATTTCATCTCCTTATTTCTTTGTTACTTCTGTTCCTTTTCTTGTTGGACAGACCTCGTTGTAGTTATGAACGTCCATTCATCATCCAAAGGAGTTTCCACCCAACCGGTCCTTAGAAGTGGCATTCAACCCAGTGTGGTGGCACATGCCTGTAATCTCAGTACTGGAGAGGCTGAGGCAACAGGGTCAAGAATTTCAGGCCAGATCCTGTCTGTCTTACTAAAGAAAGGAAGGAAGGGAGAGAGGAAGGAGGGAAGAAAGGTAGGAAAAGGAAGGAAGGAAGGAAATGTCACTGCATTGAATCCAGACCTGCTGCTCTGGCCCAGAATATAAGTTGCTGAGGTCCCAGGGGCCAGCGGCCAGCATGTGGCCATTAGCATGCAGCTCCCCCACTCTGGAAGCTGCCCTCCATCTCCAGCAAAAACAGCGGGGGCCTCCCTGCCTCGCTCCCCCCTCCTCCTGGTATTGCACAATCTGCCTCCTGCTATTTGGGGCGGAAATTGAGCTCCCGTTTCCCACCCCGCGGCAGGGGCAGGGACTCTCTGTGCTGGGTGTTCTTCGCCCCCAGAACAGCTCCCCAGAACAAGCCCAGAACTTGTCAAGAAGGAAAGACAGCAGCAAGACCACAGAAGGACAACGTCAGGCACGCGACAGATTTGTCCCCATGCCCGCCTGAGACCGCACGGCGGCATCGGCCCAGACGGCGACTGTGCCAGATCCCAGCGCTTAACGAAAGCAAGGCGCCGATCGTTTAGCTGAGCCTCTGTAACGGAAAAGTAAAATAAGGGGCACTTGGAAATCAAGAGCCATCTCTTCTTAATTGATATGGGGGTAGCTGAGCTGTTTGTTTTAAAATAGTATAATAAGCAAAGCAAAAACAGTGGAGAGAACATTCAGAGCAAACAGGATAGGCCCAGCATTGAAATAGTTACATGAGAGTTCCTTATAATATGCTCTCTCTCTCTCTCTCTCTCTCTCTCTCTGTATGAGGGTATTGTGGGTTTTTTTCCAAAGAGTTATTTCTTCATTATCCACAAGTCAAGGAAAAACTCATAAAGAAAATGGGGAAATACAAGATTCAGCTAAAGCACCAATCTAAGGCCAATTTATAGCCTTCCAAAAACTCAACCTCTCCTAACAGTTTACTCAAAGTAGAGCAAAATTAGCCCATGGAGTCAAGTGCCAGTGGCTCATGTCTGTCATCTTAGCTACTCAGGAGGCTGAAATCTGAGGATCATGGTTCAGAGCCAGCCCAGACAAGAAAATCCATGAGACTCTTATCGCCAATAAACCACCAGAAAACTAGAAGTGGTGCTGTGGCTCAAGTGGTAGAGCGCTCACCTTCAGCAGAGGAGTTCAGGGACAGTGCCCAGGCCCTGAGTTCAGGTCCCAGGACCAACACACGCACACACACCCCGGATGGATAAAATGATCCTATTGTCCTCTCCCAACCACGTGGAGTGCTTGTGTCTCAGTCCAGCGGATGGGTGCTGACCCCGGTCCTTTTCTCTCTGGCAGATGACATTCAGGGCGAGTCTCCGGCCCCGTGCGGGGTAGAGGAGCCAGCCCGCACCTGCCCCAACGGGACCAGCTGCAAGCCCTACTGGGAGGGCCCCAACAACGGCATCACGCAGTTCGACAACATCCTGTTCGCGGTGCTCACCGTGTTCCAGTGCATCACCATGGAAGGGTGGACCGACCTCCTCTACAACGTGAGTGCGGG